GCTAGGATCTGGAACCAACTTCCAAGGGAAGTGGTGCTGGCTCCTACTCTGGGGGTCTTTAAGAAGTGGCTCGATGCCTACATGGCTGGAGTCATTTGAGCCCAGTTTCTCTCCTGCCCAGGCAGGGGGTCAGAATTGAAGATCTGCAAGGTCCCTTCTGACCCTACTTCTATGATTCTATGCCTATGTCCTTAGACCAACACAACTACAACGAAAATCCCTACTTCTGCTACCCAACACAAACTTCCCCAAAGTGACAGAATATCTACTGGCATTCTTTGATTTCTGTCTTAAGACTTCTCTCCAAAACATAACATGCACTTCCTCCACCCTACAATCCACTGTCTTCTTTCCTACCAGGCTGCTACAAAACCCTGATGCCAAAGTAGACTGTTTTTCTGTTACTTCCACAATCCATATAAATCAGCACAGAAAAAAAAAGAGAGAGATATGATCCATTTAAGTGCAGGCATTCACCTCTTCATAGTGCAAGTTGCTACAGTCCGCCTGGGACCACTTAAGAGCTAACTACAGTGGATGTCCTTCACTGCAAGAAAGATGAGCTGTTACCTAGGGTTAAAAGAGCACTAAAGACAGAAACTGGGTTTTAACTCAGGTTAACCGCTCAAGGTCAACCTCAGGCCCACTTAGTTGAAACAAGCAAATGAACCAAGCTAAAACCCAGTTATTGGACTCCCTTGCTATTTAACCTGAGTTTAGCCAAAGCAAGTTAGAAATGCACCATTTTTCTTCTCTCTAAAGCACAGACCTATGCAGTAAATGGCATAAAAGGGAATATTTCTCTAACCATTACTCATGACTGCTTATTATAGAATAATATTGTTGCAACACATTTGCAGAACATTCCTAGTGCCTTTCACCAGCTTTTGGCGTCAGAATCAGGGGAGTGGAGGGTATACCCCAGATCTACCCAGGAACCATGATGCTTTACTTCAGTATTTACACCTCAGGAAACCAGGATGTGCTCAACATTCTCGAATCCAGTGATTGTGAAATAACAAATTCTGGAGAGAAAAATCATATGCAGTTTGCCTACTTGCATCCATATTCCCTTTCCCCTAATTTTGTCCTTATATTAGGAGTTCCTCAAATCAGGGCCTGCTCCCCCCCGGGTGCTTGGGAAAGCCTAGCATTTAGCAGGTCAGGCTTTAGACAAACAAAAATACTCGTGACCCTGGGAAATACGGAAGACGCCACAGCTCAAAACACGAGGAACGTCTTTTCAGAACTCTGCAACCTTTTTAAACTGCATCTTGCTCCTTCCTCTATAACTGGTGAAAAGGGAACAGGGTTTTCTTTTCCCATTGCTACTGGAAGTGATGGAAAAGGTAAAACAGGGCAGAAAACACCCCTCAGTTACACATGTATGCAGCCCAATAACTAGCACCTGACTACAGCACATTTTTGCAAGCTTGTCTTGACTTGAAAACAACAAACGATGGAGAACCCACTGCTAAATTCTTGGTAGTTTGCTCATCAGGGTTGGAAGGCACCTCAGAAAGTCACATCTAGTCCAAACCCTTGCTCAAAGCAGGACCATCCCCAACTAGATCATCCCAGCCAAGGCTTTGTCGAGCCAGGCCTTAAAGACATCCAAGGACAGGGAGTCCGCCACCTCCGTCGGTAATCTGTCCCAGTGCTTCACCACCCTCCTAGTGAGAAAGTGTTCCCTCATATGCAACTTAAACCTTCCTTGCTGCAACTTAGCATCGCAGACAATATAGAAAGTGAGGGCCGAGGCCTGCTCCA